CCAAGCCCCTAGCCTCACCTCTAACCTGGCGATTTAGGCGCAGTCAGCCCTGGTCCTCCTGCCTCCTGGGTCATCCTGCCCGGGAGGACTGTCTTTGGTCTCTTGGTGTTGGGGTGGAGATCGAGCACAGCGCCTGGCCCAGAGACAGAACAGGACATGCCGTTTAGTACATTGATGCATCCTAGGCAAAGGGACTTGATTAAGAAATACAAAGGCATGGAACACAATCATGCTGGATCCGGGGGCCGGGGAGAATAACAGTCTTTGTAAAAGAAAACAGGGTGGGATGGGCAAGGAACGGACATCGGGCACCACGAATGGGTAAACACGGAGGGTCTCATGCAAAGGGACAAAAGACTGTGGGGTCGTTAAGAAACGGAGAACAAAGTGGAAGGTCTGGTTTGGTTCGGTTTGTTTTTTTCCCTTTTCTTTTCCATTGAGGAATCGTGGGGGGCCCATTTCATTTCACGCAAAGGCTGCGGAAGGGGAGAAGGTTTGTTAGGCAGAGACCACCAAGCATGATGGCATTTGGGTGCCGAGCTAAGAGGTGAAGCTCCGTGCCTGTGTGTGAGAGAGGGGTGAAAATGTCTCACGGGACTTGAAGTGGGAGTTCCGTGAATGGATTCGGGTTTGAGGAGAAAAATCTGGACTCTCTTTGGAGGAGTGACAGAATCAACGTTTAGATCATGCTAAGGCGTTCACTTGGATCCCGGCCAGAGGGTTGCAAGAAACATAGGGACTGTTTGCCTGAGGGAGATAAGTAAACGAACATGGGAAAGTATATTTTAAGGCTAACAGTTTTGGCACTTGAGATTACAGGCACTGCAGAAATATTGAAAACTTGTAAATAGACGGGAAACAGCCCCGCAGTGAAGTAGCCCACAAACCATTTTGCATGTTGAAGGAGTGCCAAATTCAGCATGGCTGAGCACACGGAGATTTGGCTGGAGTGGGAGACATCAAAGCCGTCAGATTCTAATCATGACCGACATGGCAAATGTGCCAAGAAATGGACGGTTTATTTTGCGGCGGTAACTCCACGGGGTGCTCCGCACATGCCTCGGGCATTCGAATATAGTCAATAAAAAGTTGTCAGGGAGGGACGCGGTGAGTTTTCGGGGGTGCTTGTTTGTTTGTGTTGTGCACAGGTTTGGGATGAGAAGGCAGAGAAACGACCAAAGGAAATTTGTGTTCCCTGCTAACGGTTTTGAACTTGGGAGCTCCTAGACTACTAAGAGCTAGGATGATGTTTTGTTTTGTTTTGTTTGGGGGGGGGGGTTGTTGTTGTTTTGTTCCCCTTTAGGGTGGAGTTAAGGGACAAGATTCAGTTTCCGAGGATGGTGCTGGGAAGTGTGAAATTTATGATAAGGGTTACTACCATGATCACATCATCTGGCTGGCTCCCGGGTTTGGATTGCAGCCAACGGAGGTTTTCTGTGAGACCAAGAAGGAACTGTTTAGGGGTTGGGTTTGTTTTCTCGACAACCTTGTCTGCAGACGAATCGATTGTATGGTACCATGTGGCATTTCAAGTTAAGCAAACGGAATTCGGTGTTACAGGCGGTGAAGAAACATTGACAACTCTGAGCAAATGTATGCATTTATTATTATTTTATTTTTCTTATTTATTTTGGCAGAGCTAAAACAACGGTTGCTTTTGTTTTTGCTTTTTTAAAATGAGGAAGATAATACGATGGTGAGGGTTTTACAGCATGCCAAGGACATGTGGTTTGAGCTGTCCTGAAGGCAGTGGCGTTTCCTTAGGGGGGAAAGAAAGAAAAAAAAGGCAAGGTCTGGGGGTTCTAATTCTCCTGGAGAAGAGGGGATAGACTACAGTCCATAAAGGGCAGTGAGGAGGTTGGTCTTCAGGAGGTTTCGATCCTGAAACCTCGTTGATGGTAAGAGCTCTGCATTTGATGGAGGAGACAATGCAAACATCTATAGGTCCCTGAAGACCAAGTTCCTCTCAGCCCTTTGTTTGGAAGGGCTTGACCTTTTATTGCAGGCTAGGTGGAGACAGGGCAGATCTCTGATGGGATTTATATAGCAAGCTAAGATGGAGAGACACACTTTCTCAGGAATGGCAGGATGGGGGTGTGTGTGGGTGTGGGTGTGTGTGCCATGCTCAGAAATTTGGATTCTCACCATGAAAGAATCTGCAACGTGTGACGTGGCTAAATGTTTTGTGTCTTATAGAACGGTCCGCAGAGAAATTATAGAGCAGGGGATGTAGTTCATGCTGAAGATCTTGGATCCGTTCCCATGGGTCATTAAGAGATCGTAGAAGGCTTTCAGCAGAAGTTACAAGAGCAAACGCACATAGCTTGCGAGCAAGGGTGACCTTTATCTTAAGGAATGACACGATCCAATAAAAAAAAAAAAAGAAAACGTTTTTAATCATGTGAAGAAATCTGGATTTAAGCCAATAAAAGAGTTTAAGACGTGACCCAGTGAGAGAGCCTTTGGGGTTTTCTATCGATCAGTCTGCAAGAAAATGACAAGGTAAAAATGCTTGTTTCATGCTGAGTGGTTGGAACTTCCTCTCAGGGGCAAGGCGAGGGACTGCTGTGTGTTTCAGAGGGAGACAGCAGTGTTGGAGAAATCTCGTGCAAAGGTTGGCTTTTGTGTGGAGGAGGATGGCGAGCCAGGACCTGCTAATCCGCCAGAGAGATGCGATTTCAGATGGAAGACAGAACGGTGGAAAGGATTGCAGCAGAGTTATGTGAGCAAATTTGTCAACGGGCTGAGACGTGGAAACGCTCATTGAAGGCGAGGACTAACCTCATTTTGTTATGCGCATGCTAAGGAGTTTAAATTTTAACCAACAATGTTTGTGGAGGGTTTTGATTTTTTTTTATTTTAAGTGAGAGATCTGGTGAGTTTTTATTTTAATTTTATTTTCTTTCTTTCCCTCCCCCCGCCTCCCCCTCTCCCTAGAAAGTCTGTAGGTAAGTGGCTTGGTGAAATCTTATCTTTCAGGACATGATAGTGTTGACTTGGGTTTGGACAGAACGGTGACAGTGGTGTGCCACTCCTGGGCTCTGGTGAACAGGAGCTGAGAACATGCAATAGGTAGTGTGTGTGCTACTGTGATGATGGCAATGATGCGAATGGGTTTACCTGATCTGCACACCATGCGCTCGGAAAGGAAGGAAGGAAGAAAGAGAGAGAGAAAGGTCTCATTACATTACATTGAGGAGTGACCCCTTCAGAATTCTGAATGATGCTAAATAAAGCCTCGATGGTCGAGACAGAGATGGGTTTTTAAGTCGGCTACATGGCACATGGTTCTCTCTCTTTCCTAACATGAAAATGTTTAGATTGAACCATCCCAGACGGTAAATAAACAGAAAGGGGTTTTTAATGCTTTATCAATGTTAAGTGTCACAATCAAAGGGACTCACTTCATTTTGAGGAAAAACAGAGCAGAGCTGTGTTTCTGGTGGAAGAATTTGGATTTTAGCCAATGCAGACTTTCACGAACAGGAATGCATGCATTTCACACAATAATAATTAATAATAATAATAATACTACATTGGCCTGGTGCCTAAGAGGAGAACCAAGAGTTAACCAAAGGTGTTCTATTTATCATGAGCAGTAACCATGCCCTTAATCTAGTTGATAGTCAGACCCCAAGACCCTTTGCCTGTGCAGAGAAGAAATGTTCCAGAAACCCCCAACCAAGACCCCTCCTCACATGGAGGCCTCAGCCCACCCCCCTCCCAGGATTTGTACAAATCCTTTCCAGGTTCATGGCGTCCCAAGTGCATCTCATGCTTTCCCACCTCCTAATGCAGGCACCCTCCCAACCCTATTCTGCTGCATGCACCCCTACATGGTAAGTGGGGAGAGGGGGCTAATCAGAGACAGAGAGAAAGGGGTCTTTGCCAGAGAGGGAGGAGACCAGACCCGCCTTGTAAAGAAGGGAGTGTGGAGAAAATACTGGAGGAGTGAGCCAATAGGTGTGAACTGGAAGCTAACGGACTGCAGCACCTGAATCCCGCCCCCCCACACACACACACCACAAAGACTAAGAGACCAGTCCTAGAGAAATGACCATGAGGGGGTGGGTGGGAGTCACAATTCAAGACTTCTCCCACAGCCCAGGGCTGGAGAGAGCATTGCTTTCAGTGGAAGTCCAAGAAATGAAATCAGCAGGTACTCTGAATTACAGACTCAAGTCAGAAAGGAATGAGCCTCTCCACCCATAGTAGGTGCTTTATAAGCATCTATGGGGCGAAGCGGGGGCAGGGGGTGTGACCAAGAGAAAACATTAAAAAAAAAACCACCCTGAATTTGGACTTCTAGAATCTCCCCTTAAAATTCCTACTCAGAGCTCAGCCAAAGAAACATGAGCTATTTGGGGGGGCCGCTGACCCCAACAGGAAGGAGACCACTCGTGTGGCGCTGTACTCATTTTACACCACCGTGTGAAAGAGTTGGGTCACTGGGGGGAGAGTCCAGCATCCACTGACACAGACTCAGGGCTTGCACCAGCGGGCAGGGCCTGCCAGGGTGACTGTGGACAGCGCTCAGTGACCTCCATGGCTTTCTAGTGGCCAGAGCGGGAAGGAGGGTTCACTGGGCCCGTGGGCCGGCATGGAATGAAGTCAGTGCTACCTCCTGCCAGGTGCATGCCCAGCGCCACAGAATTTACGGGCTGCGAACGTGGCACATCTCTAGGGGAAGCAGGCGGGGGCCGGGGCAGAGAGGCCCCCAGGAGTCAGGTCGGGACCTGGCAAATTCTGGCAGTCTCTCCCAAGGGACCAGCTGAGGGGGCCGACTTGGACCTGATTTCTCTCTGTTCTGAGTAGGTGGGCTTTTGATGTCGGAGAACTGAACCCTGACTTTGTGGAGACCCTAAAACTACTGCCTTTCCTTTTCCCCCCACCCCGCCCCTGCCCCGCCCCCCAGGTTCTGATCTCCACAGTCCCCGTTGCTGACGGGACGTACCACCACCTTACCCGTCTTCAGAATCTACTCTGTTCCAACCGAAGAAATGATAGAACCCTCTGAAGACTCATTTGAGACGATGATGGAGCATAAGAATCCATCATCAAAACAAATGGAGTCCTCCGAGGGCTCATCCAATACCGCCGCGGAGGCCTCAGGCAGCCACGCGCAGGAAGTGATGCAGCCGGCCGGTGGCCCAGCCCAGCAAAGTAGGGAGCCACCCAGTGGCTCACTCCAGGAAATGGAAGAGCTGCCCATTGATCTACTCCAAGACATGGAGGAGCCATCCAGTGGCCCACATCAGGAAATAGAGGATCCACCCAATGACCTACTCCAAGACATGGAGGAGTCACGCAATGGCTTGAGCCAGGCAACGGGGGATCCGCGCCACCTGGCAGCTGGTGGGATGGGAAAAGCATTCGTCAGAAAACCAGGAGGAGGCCAAGACGAGCAAGGGAGCGACACTGACCTGTGCAGCCAGGAGGACGAGGAGGACGAGGATGATGAGGAAGAGCAGGAGGAGGAGGAGGAGGAGGAAGAGGAGGAGGTGGCAGATGAAGGGCCCAGGCAGAGAAGGTGCCATGAGGCGGAGCTCCAGCGCGCCATGCGGTCCATCACCTCTCTCTACTACCAGATGCAAGACCTCCGAGAGCAGCAAAGAGTGGCGGGGGAGATCCTGATCAGCGGCATTCACAACGGCCAGCTGCCCTTCCCGCTCCCCTTCAGTGGCGACCGCAGAGAGTACCACGAGTTCCTCGTGCTCTGCCAACTGACCATTCTAAACCACCCCAGAATGTTCTACAGCGACCAGTTGCGCGTGGGATACATCATCACTCACCTCTCGGGCATGGCCTTGGACTGGGCCAAGAAGCTGGTGCAGGCCGACAGTCCCCTGCTGGAGAGCTTCCCGGGCTTCATGGCAGCCATGTCGAGTGTGTTTGAGTACCAGCAGGTGACCCGCATGGCGGAAGAGGCCATGTTCAACATCAAGCAGCTGGAGCGCCCCGCCGCGGCCTACATCAGCGAGTTCCAGAGCCTGGTGTCCATTCTGAACTGGCCAGACGAGGTCCTGCAGGCCCACCTGTGCCAAGGGCTCAACGACGACATCAGGCACTATCTGTTCCGGGTGCCCCAGCCGGACAGCCTGGACAGCCTGATCGTGCTCATCCTGCAGATCGAGGAGAAGCTGGCTGAGAGAAGGGCCCTGCTCAGGCTGCCCCCGGAAGCCCGCCCCCGCAACCTGACCTGGATCGACTCACCTGCTCCAGAGAGGTGGAGGGTGAGCAGCTGGCTGCCCAGTGAGGTGCACCCGTCCGTCAACCGGGCCCACATCTACGTGCTGCTCCTGGTGAGAGTGAACCCCTACAACAGCGTGGCGGTCCAAGCCCTGGTGGACTCTGGAGCCAGCTCCAACTTCATGGACGAGCAGTTTGCCCAAGAGCACTACGTGGAGCTCTACGAGAAGCAGTTCCCCCAGGAGATCCAGACCTCGGATGGCTCCCTGGTGGGCAACGAGCCCGTCTGGCTCTACACCGAGCCCCTGGTGTGCATCCATCAGAGTCACCAGGAGTACATCGAGTTTGACATCGTTCCTTCACCCAACTTCTCCGTGATCTTGGGCATCAGCTGGCTCCGAAAGCACGCCCCGGAAGTGGACTGGGCCAAAGGCCGGTGCTCCTTCCACTCGCCCTACTGCCTGCAGAACTGCTTCCGCCCGCCCCCGCCATGCATCGCGCTGGAGAGGCAGGGCCTGAGCCTGCTCCCCGGACTGCCGCCCCCGTACTCCGACCTGGCCGACGTGTTCAACCCGAAAGAAGCAGATGATGAGACTTCCGACCAGCCAAGCTCAGACGGATCCGATGATCTTTCTGAATCAGAGCCCTCTGAGCTTCAGCAGGCTGGAGACAGTGATCTGGACGAGGTCTTTTACGAGTGCCGCTCCACCGCGCCGTGGGAACCTATGCCGAGTAGGATGCAAGACACAGCCAGGCTGCACGATGAGGACTGGGACCCACAAGACATGCTGAGCCACAGACAAGACTACGTACAGAACATCCCGGAACTGTTCGACCAGTTACATGGGGCCACGTGGTTCACAAAACTGGAGCTGCGGGGGACCATTGTGGAGGAAAGCATGGCAGTACAGCAGGTGGAAGATGTATGGAAAGCGGCCTTCGGGTTGGAGCTCCCGGACATGGATGGCTACAAGCCTTTCCCCATCTGCGCGGACCCCAGGGTCCCACAGAGCGTGATCCACTACATCCTCAAGGGCATGCTCGGCTTCTTTGTGCTTGCCTACGGGCAGGACGTGATCGTCTACTCCATGAGCCAACAGGAACACCCCCAGCACGTGCGCCAGGTCCTCGTCCGCTTCCGGCGGCACCACATCTACTGCTCCCTGGACAGAAGCCAGTTCCACCGGAACAACATGGAGTTCCTGGGCTTCGTCTTCAGCCCCAAAGGGGTGAAGCTCCACAAGACCGTGGTCAAAACCGTGACCGGCTTCCCTATCCCGGCCTCTAAGAAGTGCCTGCGGCGCCTGATCGACTACATCTTCCCCTACCGCCACTTCATAGAGCGCTTCACCATCATCATCGAGCCCCTGCTGCGGCAGCTGCTGCACACGCGCGACTTCTACTGGGGCGCGGAGGAGCAAGAGGCCTTCGAGTGCCTGAAGCGGGCCTTCCGGAAGGCGCCCCGCCTCTACCACCCCAAGCCCCAAAACCCCTTCTTCCTCGAGACGGGCGTCACCAAGACGTCCCTGCACGCCGCCCTGATCCAAGTGGACGAGCAGACCCGCAAGAAGGTCTACTGCGCGTTCTATTCCCGCAACCTCTCGCCCATCGAAGACGACTACTCCCAGCAGGAGATGAGGATCCTTCCCATTCGGGCTGCCTTCATGGTGTGGAGCCGCTACCTGGAGAACACCGAGGAGCCCATCATGATCCTTCTCGACACAGAGGATCTAGCCTCTCTGAATAATGACAGGCTCACCGTACTTCTCCCCGGCCACTGGGTCTTCTTCTTCGGCCACTTCAACTTCGATGTCATGGAGTGGCCCCCGCGAGAGGGCCAGCCGGTACGGTTACCCATGAGAGGCCAACGCCTGGGAGAGTACGACCCCGAGATCCCCACTCACCCCCTGCTGCGGTTCCCCAACCCCCCAAACTCCTTGTTGGATGAAGAAGTAGAGAGCGAGCCTGCCCCACCGCAGCCCAGCCAGCCCCAGGAGCTCGTGGCTCAGGTGTCACTGGACCAATTAGTCTGCACCTTCCTCATCCAGCTGGGGGCGATCCAGATGAGGGCGGTCATCCTGCACTTCATACGGAGCCTCTGGGTCTGGAAGAACTCCCTGACCCTGGCCGCCCTTCTCCTGATGCTCAGGATGAGGCCCTGCCTCCAGCAACTGAGGGCACCCAACCCGCTGGCGGTCCAGCCCCGACGCAGGTCCCTGGTCCTGGATGCATCCCTCATCTCCCACAGGGGCATGGCCAGCACCGTGGCCGAGCTCCTCCTCCAGATGTCACCGCTGGTGGCCGCCAACACCACCCCGGCCCAAGAGCTGGGCCCACTGGTCCTGAGCCCTGGCCCCGGGCAGCACGCCTTGGTGGCCCGTCGGGCCCACCTGCGGCTGCGGCTGACCCCCAGCTTCTGGCTGACGCTGTGTGAGATCCTGGGCGTCCGGGTGGCCCTGGGGGACGAGAGCTACCCTGTCCCACGGGAGCCGCGCTACCTGGAGCTGCACATTGTGAACGACGAGGATGTCGTCTTGCGAGAAGCCCGGCAGGGCGACCTGCAACGTTACCGTCAAGGTGGCCTGCATGACGGCCTGCAAGACAGCCCGCAGGACGACCAAGAGAGAGCAGTGCAGGAGCCCCTGCCCAGAGACGGCGCCGTCATCACCTTGGCCCTCCCTGCGCTGCGCCACAGCCAGGCCCACCCTGCCATCCTCGCCTTACTGCGCGACACCAGAGCCGCCGAAGGGCGGCCAGCCCTGCTCACCCGGGGGCTGGTGGCCAGGCTCCTGCTCCGCTTTCTGAGGGTGGCGCGAGGCCAGGCTGCCCACAGTACGGTGCGGGCGAGCCCCCCCAGGGATGAGGAGCCGCCCCGTGACCACGAAGACAGGGACTGAAGGGCCCCCCTCTCCTGCCACACTTCCGCCTTTGTTGTCTCCTCCACCTCCCAGTGCCTCTGCTCGCTTAGCTCAGTTGCTTGCTTAGCTCAGTTGCCTCCAGCAACTGAGGGTGCCCACCCACCCCCTGCCACTCCTGGCCCCTGGGGGACCCTCACTCATGAAGGGCAAATTCATCATCCACCAGCAATACCATCGACACCTATGGACCATAAACCGTCCGAGACCAGAGTCAGGCTCAGGGCTGTCACAACCCCTCCGTCTTAATTCTCTGGGTCCCAGGCCCAACACTGGGAGTGTGTTCAATGAGCAGAGAAAGCAGTGATGAGCAGAGATGAGCCCACAACCCCAGGCCAGGTGAAGAAGCAGGCACAACACACGTAGCCAAGCAAGCGGGGGCCAGGCCTACTGGTCCCCTGGTGTCATCCTGGGACACTGACCTCAGGTGCTCCGCTGACTTCTTCTACCTCCATCTCCGGTGCTCCTGGCTGGGGCATAGCCACTCTTCTTGCTCCCTGGGGTCCCCCGCCCCCACCCCCACCCCCGTCTTCTGCCACCCCAGCCCACCCTGCAAAGCAAGCCGCCTCCCGCCATCCGGTCCAGCTTTCTGACCCTGCACCTGACCTTGAGACTGAGAGAGAGAATTGAGCTCTTACCTGGATGCTGCCATTCGAGGGCCATCCCGACGCACCAATAGGACCGTCACTTACCGGACTTGTGTCAGCCTCAGAAGCACGCCCCACCCCCATGGCATGGGGGACTCAGAGGCCCCGGGACACTGAATGATTGGGGTGACTCCCCTCGGGGGATTTTCTCTCTCCCACCAAGAGACAGCACTGGGCCTTGGGCCCTGGGATAAGGAGAAGGGGGACCCCGAGAGACTCGAGAGATGCTGAACAGACTGCCGCTCTACACCTGCCAGGGGAGGAGACCCTCCTCCCCCACGTCCTCGACCCTTTTCTCGTATACATCCCCTCCTTAAATAAAGAAAATCAAAAGAGAATCTGGCCTTTCTGGTTTGTTCTGCCAAGGGGGGTGAAGGCAGGTGGGCTGCAGGGGTGGATGAGTGGAGAGCAGATGGGGCGGGGAAATCAGGAGGAGCAAAGAGATCATCGTTGGGACATGTGACTCCAGGGCCCCCTTGGCCTTGAGATCAGCCACCTCCTGCCAAGGCTGACCTTTGAAGTCCACCCACAGTGCTGACCTGAGGTCCTCCCCCAGTACGTCAGTAGAGAGGGGAGCACTGGGAACTGTCTGGTAACCACGCAGAGAGTCCAGAGACCCACTTCCTCACCGTCTCATAGAGAAAGTGGGGGGCAGGGGTCTGCACCCCCAATTGAAGAGGGCTTGAGTGCCAATGAGCCCTGACCTGACGCAAGGAATCGCTAGGCCCCAGGGAGATGGTACCAGCCCATTCCAAGGGTCGTGCTGCTTTCCACATGACCCAGGGGCATCTGGGCATTTGACCCAGGCCTGCTCTCTCTCGCTCTCAGTTCACAGTCCACCTGATGCTCATGCTCACCACGCCACAATCATGCTCACGTGCACACCTTCATATGCACATGGGCTGTCATGGGATGAGGGACACTGTGCCCGGGGAATGGGCATCTGCCTGGAGGGCGGGGAGAGGGGGCATTCAGCAGGGGGACCTCTCCCTCCCAAAGTGACCTTGGACCTCTGACAGAGGAAAGGGGCGATGAGGGTGCCTGGGAGCTCTGCACACTAAACTGCAGGTCACCCCACATAAATGCTGGCATCTACCCTGGACCAGGCACCCTGAGACCACATCAGATATCTGGGTTCAAAGGTCGGGGGCTAATTACCCATCCCTGGACAACTAACAACTACACAGCCCAGCGTCCCTCGAATGACCCTGGACCTCTACTTCCCTGGCTGACCCCAGGGCACAATGACTCCCCTCCTTGCTCCCCGTCACCTGGGTGTGCAAAGTTCAGGCTCGGGCTCCACCCAAAGCTGCCTGGCACTGGGGCTAGCTGAACCCCATCCCGCCACCTCACACTCAGAGTCCTACTGGGTCCCCATGCCCACCAAGGAATCTACCCCTGACAGCAGCACCTCAAGATCATGGTCAGGATCCCAAGGCTACAAGTCAGGGGCCCAGCAATCATTTTGGGCTCCTCTCCCTACTAAGGGCATTCCTCGTGGCCACACCCAGCCTGATGGCATGCTGTCTTGCTCCAAGCCTCAGTTTCCCCATCTGTCCCTCGGACCACAGCCACAGCGAGGACCTCACTGGGTCATCCATGAATGGCTGCTTCCCCGGCTCTCCTGTCACTGATGTAGATGAAGTGGGTGGGAAGCCAAGCCCCAGAAGAGGGCAAGATCAGGCTGGTGGTCACTGAGCAAGGTGGAGATGGAGCCCGGGCAGAGGGCCCCTCCCCCAGTGAGCCGTCCTCTCACACTAGGCCCCTCTATCCTGAGTGCAGCTCTGGTCAAGGGACCAAGCACAGGCCCCAGGCAGATGACATCAGCAGGCACCACATCTCTCTGCCTGTCTGCTCATCACAGCACACGCCCAAACTGCAACCCCAAGAAGTCACTGGCAAGGTCCCCTCACTCAAGGTCAGGGGCCCTTTCAAGATGCCAGTGTCCTCAGTCACAGCAGGCCCCATCCCTGAGACTCTCAGTACTCGGACCCCAAGCTGAGGGGACCTTGGTGGGGGGAGAGGATAGAAAGATGCAATCTCCAAGGGCCCTTGGTTTCTAAACCCCTCTTCTGATGCCAGATGACACTCTCCTTGGGGTCCCCAAATCCCTAAAAGTGAACGCATCAAAAGGTGGGGAGCCAGGAGGGAGGGAACAAGTCCTGCCCCTCATGGTGGAGACTGGGGAGTTCCAGGGTGGGGCTATGAGTCCAGGGCTCCCCAAGGGTTGGCCTGTAGGGGGTCTCATTTGAGAATAAGAGTGGGTCACAGAGAGCTACATATAACCTCCTCCTCTCTGGGGGATGGGCAACAGAGGGGTAGGTGAAGGGAGACGCCGGGCAGTGTAATATAAGATATAATAATAATTTATAAATTATCAAGGGTGCATGGGGGAGGGGGCAG